CAGGAAGACCTCAATGCTTCTTTTTGTTGACAACAGCAGATTTATAAATGAGTCTCATTACGAATATGTTGCACGTATTGCATTGTCACATCATGCCTTGTAAAAATTCATAAAAAATGTGACTGAGCAACTGACTAGTAACACTGGTTCAGCGCAGATTTTCCTCGTGCTTTGGACTTTGAACCCTGGTTAACAAGCGGATAGCGCCGCCAGTTTGTGCAGCGCTGTCAGAATACATGCAATTCGAATGTGAAAACATGAAGTTCTGCAGTTTATTTACTAATTGTTTAAGGCCATTTCACGATTTCAATCATCATACAGTAACCAGCAACATTCACCCCTTCCTCTTCTCATCGAAGACATGCGCTGCAGTACTAAACAGTCTCTCGCTGTCGGTGCTTGTAATGATTTTTGCGTCTTTCTCTGACAGTTTTAAATGCTTCCACGCTGCTGTGCTGACATGTTTGTTGCATTATAAAGAGTGTGCGCCTCTCACTCCGCGCTGGTTGCTATTTGATCGCGTCACGTCATTGTTCGGTACAATTTATTTGGTCTTTTCGCTTATTCAGCCGAACACCGAAAGAGCTTTTTTTGCTATTTTCGGCCGAATAATTTCAGTTGCCGAACATTCGGTGCATCCCTAGTCTGCTGCCTAACAAGGCAGCTGCCTATGTAGACAGTGGTCGCTCATAAAGATTTGGAACAGAGCAAATGTCTTTTGAATCAAAGCAATCATAGATTTCTTCTTACATTAATTTTACCATTAATACAGTTCATAAAAATATCTTCTGCGTCCCCTTCATTGTCTGCTTCTATGTATTTCTCTGCCTCCACACCATTCAGAAGTTGGGCGACCCAGCTCTGTCTGTACAGGAATTCTGGGGTCACATCTACAGCACTGCTTCTACCTTGAGTGAATGCCCACCAGCAAGTCTAGCTTAGAAGAAATGTCTGAATTTCTTGTCCACACCCATAACTTAATAGCTTGGCACAGTGGCCTTGGTGATAAAGGGTACCAGACCCTCTGCTATGCATCTCAAACCACTGATTTGAGATCAGTTCTGCCCTTCACAATCCTGCATTTCAGGGCAAATCTTCCATTCGTAAATATTTTGACGTGGCATGCCATTTCAGATATGGAATGCAGAGTACTGCTTACTCTGTTCCTGCAAGCTAGAACATAAACATCACAACGTGCATATCATTTTACATGTACATGCGCACGCCCATGTGAAAAACTTGCTGGTGTTTGCTCCACCTTTAATGAACTTGATGCTGCATGTTCAGTGGAGAAACTCTATTTTTTTGAAGTTTTGTAAACAAAAGTGAATGTAAAACCATGTATTCTGAAGCAAATATGAGTGGTGCATGTCTCTGCAACGGTTCTAGGGTGTTGTGGGTAGTTGCCAGCGCATTGCTATGTGATTGCTACAGTGGTTGCTTGCTGGCCCAAGTCAAAATCTGGTCCCTCCTTCAATATTTATACGTTTTTCGTAGACTGAGGCCACAGTCAGTTGCATGTATGAAAATTATCAAGACAAGTAATTGATTAAGCCTTCAGTGTTGCAGAAAATAAGTCTTTGTAGAAATGTCCCCTCATATACACTATTGTGCAAAAGTCTTAGGCCACTAGTATTTTCATTAAAAAAAAATTTTTTTTAAGTCAGTTATTTCTATCTTTTGCTGTAGAGTGTGTCAGTAGGAAATATCAGTTTACATTTCCAAACATTACTTTTGCCATTAATTGTAATAATTCCGTGAGATTTTTGTATGCACAAAGAGTCTGTCAACAGCCAGTGCTCCACACAGAGATCCGATCTTACTATCGTCCAGTCCGTCTTTGATTTACATGAAGAAACAGAAAAAAAACTGAGACTAAATCCAGAAGAAATGTGGCAGTGTCTCCAAGATGCTTCAAGAAACCTACCTACAAAGCTACCGTACTGTGAAGTACTAGGCACTTGTGTAAAAATGCTGTAAAGTGAGGATGCTTTCAAAAATAATTTTATAAATAGATTGTTTATCAATTAACTTCTATTAACTAAATGAAATCAACATTTGATGTGACCACTCTTTGCGTTTAAAACAGCTTTTGTTCTAGGTACACTTGCGCATAGTTTTTCAGGTTGCTTTGCAGGTAGGTTTCTTGAAGTGACTTGGAGACAATTGCCACAGTTCTTCTGAATTTAGTCTGTCTCAGTTTTTTCTGTTTCTTAATGTCATTCCAGTCGGAATGGATGATGGAATCAATCTTGTTTTGTTTTGTTTTTTGTAATCAATGCCTGCAGTTACAGATATGACACTGAGCACTCTGTAAACTAAACAATAAAGCTGAACTAAAATTGAACCTGTGCTGATAATTATTGTAAAATCATCATTAGTTTATTAATAATGAAGAATGCAGATATCACAAATATAGCTAATTGTTCTCTATCATTTCAGGCAGAGTATGAAGTAACGCCAGATGAGAAGAGGAAGGAATGTGGACAGGAACTCCTAGACAAGTACCTCAACCCAAAGGTTATTTTAGAGTTTGTTGCAAATATATTTATGTAATATTTATATCATAATTTAAATGCAGTTTTTTTTTTTTTTTCCCGTAGTTGTTTTTTTTCATGGTGTAATTCATGAGCATGTGGGCATTTATTTGTGTTTAAAGGATATATGTTCTAATTCTTCCATTTGCAGTCAATGGACTATGTTCCTGAAGTAACAGAGGAGATGGTGACTAAGTGTGCAGGATGCTTGCAACAGGAGGCATGTAAAGAGCTCTTCATGGAGTGCACCAAGTGAGTCTTTCAGACAGGAAACACTCTTATTATCCCATTAGATGGCACTAGTAGATACTACTATGCTTCCACTGTCTAACAAAAACATGGCATTGTAGCAACATTTTTCTGAGTGAAATGAAATTGAGCATTTTCATGCAAACCAATTAATTAAATCAGGATATGAGAGTGAGATTTTGTTTTCACTGTGCAGACTAGTAACACTTTATCTCAATGTTCTCTTGTAGACTGATCCATGACTTCCTGAGCATGGCCCCCTTCGCAGACTACCTCGATAGTATGTACTACAGTCGCTTCTTACAGTGGAAATGGCTTGAGAGGTATAAACAGCGCCTGAACACTTTTTGAACTTTTTGGTTTTGTTTATAATGTACAAACTCAGTGATTTTCTGTAGTTCTGAATTCTCCTGAGCATGTTAAATGGGAGAAATTATATGTAACTAATAAGTTTTTCTTCACTGCCAAGTAGAGTCTAATTATTCCTTTGGGTGCCATGATTTATTTCTGAAGCTAAGCTTATACAAACCAGATGTGAACTCTGAACTTGCTATTTATTTACTTTTAGTCATAAAAATGTCCTCTGACTGAAAGTCTAAGCCAGGCCTGGACAATTCCCATCCAGACCTTTTACAGGGAAGAATATGATATGCTGGAATAAATACTTTCATTCACATGTACACATTAAGAGGGCCTAGTACACTAGCCATTTACGGAATATGAAAAAAAGTTCTTAATTAGATTAAAGCCATGCCTTTTAACATTGTGCGTCAGTGTATCTTGAGATATAAGCTTCTTATGAAGGCAACAGGAAGTTATTCTACTATATGTGATAAATAAGACAGGGTCATGTTCGTTCTTATGAAATGTAACTTTTGTTTATTATTCTCTTCCTCTCCTCGACAGACAGCCAGTCACAAAAAACACATTCCGTCAGTATAGGGTTTTGGGAAAGGGAGGCTTTGGTGAGGTGAGTCTGAAATTATTAAGTATTGCTCTGTTTATGGCAGAAACATATCAAGGCGTTATTATTTATTATCTGGAATGCCACTAAATCAAACGCTATCTGTCCATTCCAGGGTTCATAAGGCTATTATCCTATTTTTGTTATGCTATCAGACATAAATCCCTCAGATTATCATGCACACTGCCATTCAGTGTTGGCAGATATAGAGAATGCAAGTCTCATTCAGAGTTTTTTTATTACTCTCCGTTGCCCCGTGGAAGGTCCTTTTAGATGAATCCCTGTAAGGAACATGTCAGAGTCATAAATGATGAAATGAAATAAAAACTGTCATAAAACTAATGCAAAAATAGCTTTATTTCTATATTTTTGCATAATAGTAGTTGTATTGACAGTTTTTTTAAATTATTGAATTTTATATTTATATTAATTTTTTTATAGTACATATTTTACACTGCATTATCAGTGACAATAAGAATCGCAACAAAAACTAATTGTGTAATTATAATAAAAATGTTACAATGCAAAATATATATGTATTTAATTATTTTGGGCTGGAATGTGACCCATACATTTGCAATTCACCCTTCAAAGGGCAAGATAATGAATCCCACCAAACCAAAAACAATTGCCAAACTGATCAAAAATAAAAAAAATGTAAAATTGACCCCTCTATTCCCAAAAATTACATGAAATATCTCTATGTATACTGGGTAGTACAGCCATAATTATGTTAATTACAATTAACATAATGCTTTCTTGCACATAAAGGAGTATTTCATGTAACAAAGTTACAAATAAATGGACCCCTCAATTCTCCCACTGTGCTTTTATTTTTTTTATTTTTTTTTATTTTTTTTTGCATCCAAGGTCTGTGCATGCCAGGTGCGGGCCACAGGGAAGATGTACGCCTGCAAAAAGCTGGAGAAGAAACGTATCAAAAAGAGGAAAGGAGAGTCCATGGCCCTGAACGAGAAGCAGATTCTGGAGAAAGTCAACAGTCAGTTTGTTGTAAGCATCTGAAGTGCTTATTTTGCTCAATCTTAAGTGTATTTTGTTGGAGCATCACCTTATCTTTCCATGTCTTCCGTTGTACCACATATGTTTTCTACCAAAAAAAAAACTAAAACAAAAAAAAAAACGTGAAGTTGCTGTAGTTCTGACTTCTGTTTTTGGGCTGATTAGCTCACAGAGGCCACACTTTTGTCATTTCCTGTGAGATCACATCTGTGTGCTCATTCTGGATCTTAAAATTTACACAGATTAAGGCATGGAGATCTGATGTAGAGAAATTGTAGTTTTACTGTTGTCTCTATTTAATGTTTACATTCAGAATCCTACATTTTATTAAAAAACAGAAGCCGAAAAATTAGTTTTTTTTTAAATGTCAAATTGAAAAGAGGATCTCCAGCAGTCTTTCAAAACCTAAACATCTGATGATAACCCCTAGTTTGATGAAATAATAACTTTGTATTGGGAATTTGTGTATCCAAAGGCCCGACTACAAGCATGCTATTTTCAGTTGTTTTCTTTGGCGGTTATTCTCAGGATTTTCTCTTAATTTATCCTCCATTTTTAGACACTTTCCCACACAGGCTGTATCAAATATGGGAATTCTGTTTTGTAATTGAACCAATGTACCTTTCTGTTTTCCCATGGAGGTGTGTCTCGCGTATGCATACGAGACGAAAGACGCCCTGTGTTTGGTGCTCACACTTATGAACGGAGGGGACCTGAAGTTCCATATATACCACATGGGAGAGGCAGGTTTTGATGAGAAGAGAGCCGTGTTTTATGCTGCTGAGATCTGCTGCGGGTTAGAAGACCTCCATCGGGAGAGGATAGTATACAGGTGAAAAGATTCAACTGAATTTTGGTTTGTATGCAAAAAAAAATGAAAATACTGATTTTATTCAAATACTGTTTCAAATGCAGTTTTTTTTTTGTGTGTGTAATTTTGATTGTTGACTGACCTGCTTTCTCTGTTTATCTTCTGTCAGGGATTTGAAGCCAGAAAATATACTACTGGACGATCATGGTTAGCAACCAATATTTTCTTTGTGATTGCTAATCAAACTCGGTGGTTATTGTAATGGTAACGGTATGACAAATTTCTTAAAAGCAATGCCACATGGAATGTCACATTCTAAACTGTAGCACTTGTGTTTGCCACAAGAGGGGGTAGAGTATGTAATGTTGTTTTTGAGCCATAAAATTCAGCATCCACATTTATAACATACTGTCAGCTGTATGTGTAAGTTAATTAAACTAGGGCTGTTAATAAATTACATTTTTTAAATCAAATTAATTACATGACATGCTGCAGGGATCCCACATTCATGGAAACCTAGAAATAGCAGGGATTTTTTTTAATATATTTATAATATAAATGAATATAGTTTTGCGAGTTTGATCTCAGCAGAATTATAATAATAAATCATTATTAGGTTGTCACAAACCACTGGAGAAATCATGGAAAAATCATAGAAATTAAATGACTGAAGTGTGGGAACCCTTGCGTTAATTGAAAATCTTTCAAATGAAGATAATTCAAATATATTATATAATTTTGGCATATGAAATTACAAAAAAAAAATGCATTTTCTTTTGTTTGTTTGTATACATATAACTTGTAATATGAAGTTATTAGTAAAACCAATAAAAACTAGTTAGTGTAAATGCACTAAGAAGCTTTTAAAGATATCTAGTGTGTCAAACCACTGACAGACCTCATTTAAGCTTGCTTATGGAAAGACTAATTTAACAGAGCTGTGATGTTTCTCCTCAGGTCATATACGTATATCAGACCTGGGCCTGGCTGTGCATATACCAGAAGGTCAGACAATCAAAGGCCGGGTGGGAACTGTGGGGTACATGGGTATGTATCTGCCTTTATTAACATCTAAACAATATCAGCAGCAGCTGGATCAATCAGTGTAACCTGAATATGTTTGTGCCCCATCAGCCCCAGAGGTGGTGAAGAATGAGCGTTACACATTCAGTCCAGACTGGTGGGCTCTCGGCTGTCTCCTCTATGAGATGATCGAAGGCCAGTCGCCCTTTCAGCAGCGCAAGAAAAAAATTAAGCGAGAGGATGTGGAGCGGCTAGTGAAAGAGGTGGAGGAAGAATATTCCAGCAAGTTCTCAGAGGATGCCAAATCACTCTGTAAAATGGTTAGTATCCAAACAATTATTCATTATATAATCCAATTATTGATTACAAGCTATGCCAATTTACTGATCTAAATAATAAATAATAGCAATTAAACACATACATCAGTATTTCTGAGAAAATCCCCAATTTTTTTTTCTGTTCACATTTGAAATGTGCAAAATGAAAACATCAGCAATGTTACAATTTTAGTTGGCTGTATTGTTCTGAAATGCTTGCAGAACACATTTTGACCATCTTAATGGGATAGTTCACACAAAAATGAAAATTCTGTCATAATTTTATCATTTGTGTCCATACAATTGAAGTCAATAGGAACCGAAACTGTTTGGTTAAAAAAAAAAAAGTTCTCATGTTTGGAACAGCATGAGGGTAAGCAAATGATGACAGAATTTTCATTTTTGAGTGGAAAGGAAAGATTTTATATAGTTGTTGTTGTAAGAAGCTTAAAGGCGCAATAGGAGATCTTGGAAAATGCTAACTTTAGCCTGATAGCACTGAAAGCGAATGTCCCACCCTCCCTGCAATCGCCGTCCAAAGCCACGCCCCCTGAATGCATATACGCTCACTCACAGACCAGAGTACCAGAGACAACATTACTACAATAGGCTACATCAGGTTCCCAATTCCAGCCCATGTTCCGAAGTGAAGTAAACATCAACGTATTTCCCCTGCTCAGGGAGGAGGGAGCAATGAACACTGTGTAGGGATCATATCGATCGGAACACAGTTCATGCACGTAGCTCACTTCTAACGAGCTGGTTATCTGAATCGGGTGTGTTAACTAAGCGAGACATTCAAAATATGCAGAGCGGGGGGCGCGAGGACTGGATTAATCGCTGGGCTACATCATGCGTCATTCACCGGTGAGAAAACTTTAAAAGTACTACAATACCAGGAAGGAAAATCGGGTTGTTGATGATGTTTGTCTGCCATTCTCGCTCTGTCTGCACAGCGTGCGTGAACGCGCTCATGACGTATCCTGTCTGCGCGAACCGGGTGCGCAGAGGTATGCTAAACATACGTTGACAGGCAGGTAGGAAAGCTTATTAAAACGCTCGGACCGAGCGTTTTGATTGGACGAACATTTCTTGATCCTACGCCTTCCACAGAATATATAAATACAGACAAATACATTTAGACCACTTAACTTAATGATTGCTATCGGGATGTGAAGAGACTTTCAACCAGCATAACAAAAAATGTTTCTGAAGACAATCACCTATTACACCTTTAATTATATATTTTTTCTATTTTTTTTCTGTAATTATATCCTATATTGTTAATATGGTATTAAAACAAATAAATAGATTTTAAACATCTTAACAGTTGTCAAAAAGGTGTCAAAGATGATTTGTTTCAGCAAGTGGCATATTAATGAAGAATGTTTTGTTTGTTTTGTTTTGTATTTTTGCCTTAGCTGCTAGCCAAAGACCCTAGTGAGAGGCTTGGCTGTCAGGGGGATGGAGCATCAGAGGTGAAAGCCCACGCTATTTTTCGTTCCATCAACTTCAAGCGGCTTGCAGCTGGCATGCTCGAAGCGCCCTTTATTCCAGATGCAAGTATCTTCTGAGACTCTAATTTGAACTAATTTTATTGGGAATATCAAACACAACTTCTATTGGGTCATTCCGTGTCAAATCAACCAAATTTCAGACATTTCCCCATTTCAAATTTTTGATTTTATCAAGATTTTTTTCGGAAGAAAGATAAACATGAATGATGATGAAAGCCAAAATATTAAATGACACAGATGTATATTTACTGAGTAATCCACTATTTTGTAGAGGGGGGTCAAAAAGAAAAATTTCAGCTGAGATTCAGAGCCAAATTACAGGGGGGTAAAATGACTTCAGAAAGATGGCAGCATCATTATGTTATTAGTACACAGAGATTGGTAGGTCTACTAGTAAAATCTGTTGACGTTAGCTATCTTTGTTGCAGTATATGCCAGTGGTGACCATTGAAAAATGGGAAAAAGCACTTTCAAGTTTTTTTCTACGAAGTTGCATGCCTGTAACTCAAGAAGTATTAAAAATATCTCATTATCATTTTAAATTCTGGTCCATAATAAATTTTCATTTATAATCTTCATTTTTAAGGCCTTATATTGTTCAATACCAGAGATATGGGGAGCCCAATGTGACTCAGTGTCCAATTTGTTTAATTTTACCCATTTTCATTGGTTGAAAACCAAATGTTGGTCACTTTGGCCTTGTTAAAAGCACATCTTTTAGAGATTTTGGGCGTCTACATGATGGGGTGTTTTTATTGTTTATTTTAGCTATGACTCTGTGTGTCGCTCTCTGCATGTCTTTTATATTTTGTGGTTTTATATTATTTATGCGTTTGTGTTAGTGATTGTGAAGTACTTTGGGCAACAGTGGTTGCATTAAATGTGCTATATAAACAAACAAAACTATTGCATAGAACATACATGTCTGATTGCTAAAATACACTGAAATGGGCAAGTTGAGGCACATTACCTTGTTCTCAGTAGTCTATTCACAAGATTCTATATTTGAATCAGTTTCAGTGATATTTGGATGAAGGGATTTTGTTCATTTTAACAGCTTCTGAAATAACAAGATTGGCCTCACCTGGATTAAGTATTGGAATTTCCTTTTCTTTTTTATTGTTATAACATGTGAAGCATAGTCATTGATCAAGTAGTATCTACTGCTAAGGGGCAAATTTGGAGGAATCACTGATAGTAAATCAAACTTTGAAACATTTAAGGTATCTCACACTTGAAATAATTAACACTGGGTAATTATAAACCACAGGTTTATAAACCCCCAATCTTATTTTAGATTTCACTCTGTTCATATTTTACCCGGAGTTAGCGATTAATTCTGGTTATTCATAATCTGACGTGTCACACTGTACATTCCTAAACCCTGGGTTATTGAAAATGGGTAGGATTCAACAGTTTGGACATTGAGTCGTATTAGGCTCCCCATATCTCAGGGACTGAGCCATATAGGGCATAAAGATTTTAAAAGAAAAGTTTCTTCGGGACCAGAGTCTAAACCATATTAAGATCTTTAATACTTTTTGAGTTACAGGCATGCAGACTTTGGGGGAAAAAATGACATTTTTGGGACTAAATATGTTCTATGCAATTGTCTTGATAGAGAAAAACAAGATACATTTCTACTTTCAATATTATTTGTTCTTCAGACATTATTCTTGAAATACAAATAGTATCAGCTGTATGCAAAGTGACCACATTTGGTTTTCAACCAGTAAAAATGGGTAAAATTCAACACATTGGACATTGAGTCACATTGGGCTCCCCATATTTCTGGTATTGAACAGTATAAGGCCTTAAAAATGAAGATTACAAAAGAAAAGTTTATTAAGAACCAGAATTTAAAATGATACTGAGATATTTTTAATACTGCTTCAGTTACGGACATGCACACTTTGGAAAAAGAATATTTATGGCACTCAAACATTTATGTACTATGCAATTGTTTTGTAGAGACAATATATATTTCTAGTTTCAATATTTTTCAGACATTCCCCTTTAAATAAATTAAATATCAGCTGTGCACAAAGTGATCAACATTTGGTTTTCGACCACTGAAATGGGTAATATTAAACAATCTGGACATGGAGCCGTATATCTCTGGGATTGAACCATATAAGGCTTTGCAAATGCGGATTACAAAAGAAAAGTTTATTAAGAACCAGAATCTAAAATCATATTAAGATATCTTTAATACTTCTTGAGTTACAGACACGCAAACTTATTTATGACATTCAGAGAGGTATGTTCTATGCAATTGTTTTGATAGGGGAAAACAAGATGCATTTCTAGTTTCAACATTATTTGTTCTTCAGACCTTCCTCTTTTAAAGAAAAAAATCAGCTGAATGAAAAGTTACCCAGATTTGGTTTTTGAACTCTGAAAATGTGTACAATTTAACAATTTACTCCTGGAGCCATATTTAGATCCCAATATCTCTGGAACTGAACCATACAGGGCATTAAGAATTAAAATGCCAAAATGAAAGTTTCTTAAAACCTAACATCTAAAAATGGCCTTAGGATATCTTAAATACTTCTTGAGTTACAGGCATTCAAACTTTGGAGAAAAGTGTTTTTTCCCCATTTTTCAATGGTCACAACTGGCATATACTATCTCTGTGTAAAAATAACATAATAATGCTGCCATCTTTCTAAAGTCATCTCATTTTTACCCTCCTGTAATTTGGCTCCGAAAAAATGTACATTTTGACCATCCTCTACAAAATAGTGGATTACTCAGTAAATATACATCTGTGACATTTAATATTTTGGCTTTCATCACTATAAATGTTTATCTTTCTTCAGGAAAATCTTGACAAAATGAAAAATTTGAACCGGGGACCTCCGGTTGAGTTAACACGGAATAACCCTATTGTTATTACTATTCCTCATTCACCGTTTAAATAACCTTTTTCACCCAAAAAAGTAAAAAGTCTGCCATTTTTTTTTTTTTTTTTTTTTTTTAATAATCATCCTCATTTGGTTCCAAACCCATTCAAACTTCTTTTTTTCTTGGACAGTGGCGGCTCCAGGATTTTTTTGTTGGGGGTGCTAAGGGGGGGCTAATCAGTTCAGAGGGGGTGCTAAAAAACTAAATAAATTGAGTGAAACTAATGAACGCCTATACGCTTCAGCTATCTAAATGGCATGCAAATTCAGCCACCTTGTGTTATACAGCAGCTTCGAAAAAGGCACATTTTAAATTTTTTTTCTGTGGTATAAACTTCTCCTATGCCACTGTTATTAGTAATATAACTTCTAATGCCAACTGCCAAATATGACACTTACAAATTAATACAATTTATGAACGCACATAGAAAAGAGAGAAAGTAAGGATTTTTTTTCTTTTTTTAATTGTTTTATTTTATTTATTTATTTATTTTACACATCTATTTAGTCATTTTTTCTGACCATCAAGTGTCAGTCACTCTCAATGACAACTGGCAGGAAAACATGGTACATTCTAACCATTTTTTACAATAGATAAAGTGCCGACAATTCATACAACTATTTCCACACAGTGGCATAGCGGAGGGGCCTCACGATAACCTCCCCGTGCTGAGATGTCGTATCATGTGTCGACGATAGCCAGAGATATTGTCAAAAGCATCAAAAATTGGCAATATTAAAGGGGTCATATGATGTTGCTAAAAATAACATTATTTTGTGTATTTGGTGTAATGAAATGTGTTTATGCTGTTTAAGGTTCAAAAAACACATTATTTTCCACATACTGTACATTATTGTTTCTCCTCTATGCCCCGCCTTTCTGAAACGTGTCGATTTTTACAAAGCTCATCGGTCAGAAAAAGCGAGGTGTGCTGTGATTGGCCAGCTATCCAGTGCGTTATGATTGGCCGAATACCTCAAGCGTGTGACAGAAATGTTACGCCCCTTACCATACTCTGATGCCGTGTCCCAGCCAGAGCAACGAGACAAAAACATTAAAACCCATTATAAACGAGGCATTTGTTGCATCCAGTGGGGACATAAATACTGATTATAATGACTTATACTATAAAGAATATCTCTTTGGATTTGAGACTTTAGTCTTTGCAACTTTACAGATCTTCTTTATGCACCAAGAGCTTGTAACACTCCAAAGAGAAAGGAAAAATTGAAATCGCATCATATGACCCCTTTAAGAGGATTTAGCATTTCCAATTAATGTAGGCCTGTTACATTCTTCTTATTATTAGGCCTATTATTATTATTAGGTTACTTTTATTATTAAATTACATGAAATTATTGCCCCACAATAATTTCATGGCGCATCACCGCATGATGCGCTGTGAGGATAATTAAAGTTTAGGCTATTAGCTTACTCCTCATTGAAAATGTTTTTTAAAAGTTTTTTTTAAACAGGTTTAATAATTTATATAATGAATTATAGGCCTATAATTAAAATTATTAACACTACAGTCATCAATGAAAATTAAGAGCAGCTTTATTTCGTGCACCGATTTTCAAAAACAACCTGTTTAACGCGAAATATGTTTCTTCTCATGTGTTTCACTATACGGGCCACAAGAGAAATATTAGGGAATAATTTAAGACAGTTATATACTGTTATCAGCATATGTTGAAGTAGTTTCGTCTCTCGTTGTCTCTCAGAGAATATGCGCCATTAATGCAGTGTTAGAAAGCTCTGTCAGTTTTTTTACTTTCACCGGCATAACTCTTGCGCACAGTTTGCGCGTTGCTTGACCCCTCCCCCATAATATCAATTGTTTATAGGCCACATATTAGGCACTTTTTTTTT